TTCAAGTTGGAGTTATTAAGTAATTAATCCAAACAAAAGTAACAAATTCTCTATCTAAATATGTCAAACCTGGTATTTGAAAGAGAAATGTGGCAGCCACATTTCGCACCCTCCTCTTTTTACAAAGTATAAGCCTAGCAAGAATATAGTACATATCCAGTGGTAATGCTCCATGATAATAAATCAGTAATGCTGGACCTTCAGCTGGCAACTTTTCAATTCCAATCAGTTCATAGCCTGACAAAGAATTAATAAAAGGGTTATGAAAGGAGTCCTTTGAGTATTTTGGGATGATTTAACCTATAATCAGATGTAAACCCCTTCAGGGCCGTAACTAATGCCCTGGGATCAGGAACATCCCCTTGTAAATGTATGAGCATGACCACCAGTAACTCTCCAAGGAATCAAAAGGAAAATAAAACAGAAATATATTCCTGGCTGTTGAATTCCCTGCCAACTACTTTAATTCATATACCCGTCCCTGGAATATATCTGGGGTCAACATCATCCATTTGGAAGAGAAGGGATTTCAGTGAGCTGAAGCTAGCCTGTGTACAGATGCTGCCTCCCCCCAAAAAAAATCGGAGAGAGAGATGTCTGTGTCACACTGCCGTCAATAGTGTTCTTGTTTCCCCAGAATGTGGGGGAAAGCCTCTGATTAGTTGCTATGTTAGACGTGCCATGACATAATTAAATTACGGTGTCATGATTGGTGAATGACAGCTTAACAAAACATTTATACATTTACTTATTTTTAGGCATTCTGGAAATAAGTATGTAAAGCTAAAAGTTATCACAAATGTTTGCCGCACCAGTTGCAGCTGCATGTTTTCTCTGCAGGTTGCTATTGTAAATAAAAGAGGACTTGGATGCGGGCTTAATCAGGGATCTTACATAACTGGATTTCAGCATGGACATTGCATGGAAGTTAATTTTTGGGCATACATGTGTGCATCATGACTCATAAAATAAGAGAAAAGAATAGCTCTAATTTCTTGCTGAAGAGAAGTGAATGATTCTATACATTCAACCTACTCAAAATCATTGACTGGACAACATCCTGCATTAAAAACTCTTGATTGGAAATGTAACCATTGCTTCTGAGATCAAACTTCTGTCAAACCAAAAACCACAGGAAATCGATGCACAGGAAATGGACAAGCTTTATGACCTCCCACTGTAAGATGGGGGAACATGTGTAAGTATCCTCTAAAGCACAATACACTCATTATAAAGAAAAGATGACTGACAAAATAATATTTTAGCTGGAAATTCTAGTTAGAGCCCAGCTACAAAGGCTGAGAACTGTGCTGTACAAGAGTCGTGTTGGTCTGTCAACATCTTTTCAACTGACAGAGAAAAACAAAAAAAAATTACCTATAAAAATGTATACCAGAATACAAATATTAATGACGGCATGACAAAGAGATCTCTCTCCCCAATTCTTTTTGAGGGAAGGGGGAGTCAGTACACAGGCTAGCTGAAGCCAGACTGTCTACAGTCAGATGATAATTTTATTTTCACATTCCTGCTTTAGTTTTATACCTGGCTAATGGAAATGAAACCATGTATATGTTTGTACCTTAAAAGAAAGAAAATGCATGACCTTTATGCAATAAATAAACACGACTGGTTATATTCACACACAGCAAGAATAACAGAGGGACCACCTCACAGGGCCAACTATTAAACACCTCACTTTTTAATTAAAAATGTTCGGGAGTTTTTGAACAGTTTCGATCTTCCTTAGTTAAAGACTCTGGTTAAAGACAGACTCACGGGGGTCACCATGAATTTCCGGTTCCTTTCATGAGGTTCTGGAGACAGTTTGTTCTTCCAATTCAGCCGACACACACACGGAAAAGGGGTACTAGAGACCAGAGAATAAACTACTTAAGCAAATCCACCGTTTGCGTTGATTTGTCTAGCTTTGAAAAAAAACATAGATCCCCGAGGGAGAAATCTGAGGATTTCCTGTTGTATTTCAAGGTCACACACGTTGGACTGCAGCCGCGTAGGATTTTATCATGCCATAACCACGGTCGACGTTAGAACTGGTTTTCTGCGCGAAAAAATCCTGTTCAACGGGAAGGAAGATTTTCCTCAAGATCTCCACACAAAACAAGTTTGTATGTTTTGGGAAAGGACGCTGCAGATGTGTTCGTTGAAAACAGTCAAACGCCAAAATCCTCAAACAAAACATTAAACGTGGTAAGAGGGAAAAATTTAATAAAAAAAATTATTTAGTATACCGAATACAACAAGACGGGAGAAACAGAACACTACTACAGTACAATTTTACACACAAAAACCCTACTACAGAGGTTTAATTATAACCCGATCGTAAAACTAAGAAGCGCATTTAGCGCCAAACTAAATGATTAAAATTAACTGACATGTCTACCCAAGTTTTAGCTGATTCTGCACGGTTTTTTACTCATGATAATAGGTGATGCTTTATAGTTTTCGAAATCAAAAGCAAAACAAAACAAATCACTTACCGTGCCAAAGGGTTCCGTGTGCGTCAAAAACCGCAGCAATCGTCTGTTGTCCGCCGTCCCAAAAATTATCCGCGTATGCATCGTAAATTTGGCGTCGTCTGTGTCGGTAGACGTGAAGAAACACGGCACCTCCGTACATCGTAATAAGAAAAATTACGGGGTAAATAAATACGATGACAAAGGGCGAAAGAAGGAGCATCAACCAGTCCATCTTGCACGTTGCACAAGAACTGGTGTTTTGATCCCTTTGATGTGCGTAGATAACCTGTGTGAAAACCACACCACAGGTAACCCAAGCATTGGAAAGATAATTGCCCAGGAGGTGGGTACACCGAATTTTAAGTGTCGGGGTTTTTTGGGTTTGAAATTTTCGACTCCGGGATATTTTTGGGTAAGAAAATTTGGCAAGTATTTTTTCGGGTGGCTTGATCTAAGTAGGGAATGGGTTCTTCCCGATATTTAAAACAATAGGATGATTTAGCAACAGTTGACGACGGGAAAGCGAGCGGAGAAAGGACAAAACACGACTTCCGGTGCTCAATTTGCCGCTCTGCCATTGGTCAAGCAAGTTGTTTGATTTGCGCGCGCCGTCGAAAACAGTAATGGGCTCCTGGAAAAAAAACATTCGATTTCTAATGTTTCTATTTTTAATGTTATATTATTTAATTAATTTTTTTTTTTGTAATTTTAAGGCTCGGAAATTCGGTATGGGATTTTTTTGGATTTTGTTGGAAGGCCTAAGGATTTTTTGGGGGTTTTGGTTTTTGCCCTCATTCGATTCCCCGTCACTTAAAATCCGGAATAGCCCCCCGCCCCCACCCCCGGGGGGATAATTGGACTTTCAAATGCTCCAGTAGGTTTTGGAACTATTTAGATATTCGGTACGGTAAACGGTCTGAACGAAATGTAAGATACTGATAATAGCAAGCGATCAGTCTCTCACCAGCTGCTTTTTCTTTATGTTCAGATCGAACGGGTAACCCTCCCCGACGAAAGTAGATTTTAGCTTAGACGCTGCACTTAACACCGCATACCAAATTTAGACACAACCGCTGACAGAGAGGAAGTTTCGAGACCTTCGATCGATGAAATTAGAAATTGCGACGAAGTAGAATGTTAATGCACTAATGCACTGCTCCCCGAGGGTCGTAACTTAAACAAATTCTGAACGTGAGTGTTTCATTACAGAGACAAAAAATGAGAAGATAAAATGTCCACAGCAAAAGGTAAAGACCCTATTCTTGACAATTTGATCTGGAGCGACATCGAGTACAGACTGTTTGAATTTGTTGATCGCTTTCCGCTGCCACAAATAGTCAAAGTGACAGAAGGTTACTATGGGCCAACTGAAGATTCTTGCATCGGAGCCGATCAGATACTTACCCTACACTGTTTGAAAACAACAGAAAAGGTTTTATCACGGGACAGGAAGAAAAGGGAACTGAACATTCCACTGAACTGCTCTCAAAAGGTCGAGATTCGCCCTGCTGATTTTCGCGGCGTCTATGAAACCGTGGAGGAAATTAGTAGGATTCCGGCGAGATTTGTACGTGTGACTCAGGGTTACTATGGTCTGGACGAGGATTCAGTGTGTGTCAATCCAGGGGACAAGCTGGAAGTTATTCGTGTGGAACATGGTCTTAATGGAAAAGAAGACTGCGTTCTTTTCCACAATGAAGAGCGTTCTCCAATCCGATTATCTTTCAGCGTTTCAGCTGGCTTTCAGTCCTTACTCGACGGACGGGAGTATTACCTGAAAGAACTGGTCGCGACATCGCCTAAATTGCCACTGTACTTTCAATTTGTTGATCCTCCATGTATAACTCGACGATCAACGGAACAAGTGTTCAACAATTCTCTTGGAGTTTTGTCACTGGAAAAGGTATACCAAGATTCCACTGTGATCTGCACCACGAAAGAGGGGGATGTTAGGACAGTGGTTAGTTGTCCAAAGCATTTGCCAATCACAATTAATGTAGCACGTGGAGCACTTTCAGATGACAAGGATTATGTCCGCCTTTGCCGTGTTTTCCATGATGGTGTAAGTCTCGCAAAGATTGAGAACATGGAGATTCAAAACATATATGCATCCAGAGACACCATAAGAGAGTATGAGTATCTTGCAGATGTTGTACCACCCCCGGTTCCTCCCCGTGACAGTTCCTCAGAGGAAAAAAGTACCAGTGAACCCCTAGCTTCTGACGATATTCATGACTACACTTACATTGATGACTATAATCTACCACAGCCACCTGCTTCTGTAGCAAAAGATGATACCACACCAGTGCCGGTCAGTCATTCCTTTCACGGGGAGACTGATCTGAATAAAAAACCCGATGAAACAGGACCTAATGACTATGGTGGGGATGGGGGTGAAGATTGTTTATACCTAGTGCCACCAGCGGCAAGTAATGGAACAATGGCGGAAAATGAAGAACCTGTTGCTCCACCGCGAAAAACAAAATTGGGGACTAGCATGAGTTTGGAGCCTAGCACAAAACCAGCAACAGCTAAAAAGCCACCACCACCTTTGAAACCCAAGCCTGCTGTAAAAAGAACACAGTCTGTACCACAAGAGAGGGAAAAAGTCTATAAAGTACCTGATGACGTGTCACAGATGACAGTGAGTGAGGTGTCACAATTCTTGAGTCATTTCCGCTTTGGAGATTATGTTGAGGTGTTTGCTGAAAATGAGGTGGATGGAAGTCTGCTTTCTAGTCTGGATGATGAAGAACTGAAGTCTCTTGGATTGAATGCTTTTCAGTGCAAGAAACTGAAAAAGCTGGTGAGTGGGTGGAGACCAAAAGAATAAGCAAGTTCAAGGTAGATTTCTACAGTAGACAGTACAATAATAATATTGTAATTAATTTCCTAATTATTAGGAAATACAGTGTGATGCACAATGCTTTATCTTGTGCATCTTCGGATAGTGAAAAATAAAAATAATGTAAAATCTATTATCAGGTTAAACAAGTATTCAACTTAGGTTACCAGGGTTACAACCCCAGCAAAATGCCAACCCTAATACAGTTCAAACTCCTGCACGCAACCACCCAAAATGGAAAGGTTTAGTTGTTGCTTATGGGAGGTGGTCATTTATGAGTCAAACCATGGGGGTCTCTTTCAAGAAGAGGTCCGAACTTGTGTACTCTTTGAAAGAGAATTTATCGCATTCAATTTCTAAGTTATGACAACAAGCTGTCACTGAAAGTTTTTTGTATACTCTAAGAAGAAAAGTGCATAGTGCAAACATGGAGGTCAGACTACATATCAAGAAGGGGCTTCCAGAACAAAGGAAAATTGTAAAAGTATCACCCCAATCATGGTCACAGTAACTTGCAAGGGGCTTAGACTCTAGGGCTTTGGCTGGAAAAATTCTGGTATTTTAGGGAGGTGGTTGCTTATCGGAATTGGACACCAGTGGTGTAGCCATTTATTTAACCATTGCCACTCCTCTGTGGAGGAAAGAGAGCAATAATTGAAAGCAAAATATTATTCAAATAGACAACCGGGCTTTATTGTAGTTGATACCTTGACAAACTCAAGGTAATTCTCTTAAATATTTTATATCTCTTATATCAGCTGATATACCGTAAAGTGTTCCTTTAATTTAAGTAAGTGGAGAAATGTTCACAAAGTTAACTTTATCCCCTTAAGTTATTGTAGACGGTTATGGAGAATTCATTTTAGTACTAAATGTGCTTAAAAAGATAAATAAATAATTGCCAAATATTCTTGATTTTAAAATATGAAGACAGTTATGTTCAAAGAAGAAGTTATCCAAATATGTTCAAATATCTCTATTGTGCAAGAAATTCTCCTTCAAACTGGTACTTACAGAATAAAGAGAATGGATTTTTCTTGAAGTTGCGTGAAATGTGGTAGTTTGTTATTGTGTATTAAAAATAGCAAGTGTGACCCAGAATTTGATTTGGGAAATAAGTGTATCACTAAAGCATTTTATTATCTTAGTCTAGGTGACCAAGTTGCAAAGCCTAAAGTAATATTTTCTCTTGGTCTTTAACACAATTGCACAATATTGTAACATTTTAAAATGTGTTCACTATTAAGTTAATATTTAATAGCTACCATTTTTAATTGGTGGATCTTCTGTTTTTTCAACATTAGCATACAAACAGTCTGGGTTGTAAAATGGTGTAGGTCAAAATGAAGATGAAACGGTTTCAACCTGGGTAGATTCTCAATTTCTATTTATTTTGTTTCCTAGCCTTAATTATTCTTGATAATGTATAATAAGGGCTTAAAAAATGGAGGAAACTGAAACTCGATCTAGGTTGAAACCATTTTAACAATGAATTTCATTTTGACCTATAAAATTTATATTATCATATTTACTCAAAAAGGGCTGGTTAGATTTTACAACTTATCAATGTATTTGCCTTTGGAGTTCAGGTACTTTAATATGTAGAGCCTCCTAGCTACACTGTATGCATTTTCTACAAAACATTTGTACCAATAATGAGATGCTAATGAAAAACAATGACAAACAGAGCTTCACTTCAAATGCATTTATTTTATTTAGTATGGTAAGGTTGTATTTACTGCTAGTAGCTAGATAAAATGTTTATCACTCATAGTAACACTCACTAATTGGCCCAGTAAAGGCATTACCGTTGGTTCCAAATTAACAGGCCTGAATCTCAACTACTCAGCGGGACTCTTGTCTCTTAAATAAATGAACAAAATTATATTTACTTAATATTTTGGGAAAAACTTCCCTAACATCCCACTATAACTTTCCATCTTAGCTTTTTGTGCAGACAATTTGATTAATTCCATATTGTCTGGAATTTTTAAGAGTTGAAAAAGTCAATATTTCACCATCAGCTCAAGGTGACTTTTAACTGGTTTAGGGAATTGACTTTAAAAAAATGGAAAAACTGTGAACCTCATTATTGTTGTGTGGATAAACATGGTTCGTACAGATTTTTGTATCCAAAATTCAAGACTTTTTCCAGACTTTTTTACTTTTCCACGATCAAGGTTACCAAATAGGTGATCAACAGAGATCTTGAAAAACACAGGAACCAAGTTTTTTCTCATGATGTTTGTAGGCGCCCAGTTTTTCACACCCTTTCAAAATAACGTCAGTTCGCTGTGTCATTACTTTCCGTAGTAGCCAATAGATAAAAATCGAAATCGATAAAAATCCTCAGCGATCAAGTGATTTTTTAGCAATTGATAATGGAAAACGGTGAAAATCTAACAAGGGAAATCTCAGGCATCCCTTCAACTATAGATGACGTCTAAAATTCAGGCTGGGAAATCTTTTATCTAGGAGCCTGTTTACGTGGAGATGGGGGACCCCAGATAGGTGAGGTAACATGGGGTGGGTCACCCCACCTATCATGTAAACGTGATCAACTTAAAATGAGAGATTATATGGACAGGCGGGTTACCCCACCTAAGCGGATTACTTACCTGGATTTCCCCACCTCCATGTAAACAGGCCTTAAGGTTGTTTTTCATGTGATACTTACCTGCAAGAACTGCGAATGTAAACTGAACCATTTTTGTTATTATATACAAAAGGGTTTTGGAAATAATCTTGTGTCTGTAATAGTTTCCACATTTCTTATTTTCATGTTTGTTGATCAGTTGTTACTGGTGGATGTGTTTTCTCGGGTGTACTATCTAACGTATGCCAAAAAACAAAAATGTCAGAGTTCTATTATAAATCATTAAAATCATGAAAAATCGATAATATTGATTTGACACAGCCATCTAGTTTATAGATTTTCACGGATTTCCATTATCAATCTATAAAAATCACTTGATTGCTATCGATTTTTATCAATACCGATTTTTATCGATTGACTACTCTGGGTATTAGGTACAGTAACCACCATGCAATGTGGAAATAAGAGAGTTTTGAAGCCTCTCATTCTGTGATTAAATCAATAAATGTCTTCGCTAAGGGCGAAAAATTCACACTTATTAAGCACTTATTGTATCTTTGAAAAAAAAATTCCAGACATTTTTCCAGGTCTGGAAAATTGCTTTGCAACTTAAGACTTTTTCAAGAATTCAAGAATCTGTACAAACCCTGGATAGAAAAATTAAATTTTGAGTGCTGTACTTCCCCACTTTACTAGCTGGAAGCTTTCCTCTAGGTCTCCTTTGGCTAAGAGGGGCAGGCAGCTTTGGAGTCTGACAAGAATGAGTAAGGAGAGACATTATGTTTTAGAAAACTAGGTATTTGCAAGGACCATGGCTGTGTATTTATGATAGTGTGGTTAGAGAGTGTTTGTTGGAGTATAATCTTTGTGCAAGTGGGCTTGCATTTGTAAATAAAAAATAATATTTTATTTTACGTCTCAACAACTCAGTTTATGTGTGTTACTGGCATATCTTGGCATGTTATCTTAAAAAGATATTTTTGTAACCACAGTTTACCACTGGTGTAGAGCAATTAGAGCATGAAGAATGACACTCATATCATATCAGGGTTGTGCTCGAGAAGAGCCCGGTGGCCCATGGTGCCCGACGTTTGCCCTTAGGCAAATAGAAAATCTTAGTTTTTCGATACAAGTAACATACAGGCACCCTTGTTTTTACTGGTTCAGAGCACCAGGCTATCTGGATGCAGATTGTGCAACCGTTTGGGTATGTACAATCGGGAATTTTTTTTAATAACTGACTAATCATGCAAGTGCCAAATGTGCAAGCTGTTAGGGGGTTCTGGAGGCATGCTCCTGCAGAAAATTTTGAAAACTTGATGCCCTGAAACATGCATCATTTCTAGTGTTCTGAGAGGACAACTTCTGTCTAAAAATGTTCACTACATCACCTGTTATTTTTAAAACTTATTTTCAATAGAAATTAAATATTATTATTACAACTACTCAATTGTATTTTAATTTTCTGGCAGTTTTCTTTAAGTTTACTGGATATCAGTTTCAGTTAAGGTAATTCCCTTGTTTGGCACTGCACATCTCCTAGGGCACATACTATTGCAACTTCAAAGGTGGCGGTGATTTTCACCGCTTGCCTTAAGAGAGGCAATTATGGCTCCTTTTGTAATCCTGATGCCTTTAATAGCCATTTTGATAATTCTGTGTGGCTAAAAGGGTGTTTGTCTGAAAATCGTCCAAGTCCCCTTGTGCAAAATGATCATTTGAAGCCGAAACTGTCCCTTTGTTGTCGTTTTCCAATGAAACGAGAACAGTGATGCCCTTTTTTACTTGTGTTTTCTACTTGCTATGGCTCACAAAAAAATATATCATTATTAAGGGGGAAAAATCTGGATAGTAGAAGTATTTTTTTGGATATGAATGACTTGAATTTCTGCACTTAGAAGCACAGAGAAGTAAGAGATATTGTGAAAACTGCCCATTTCTCTCCTTTTTTACCACATGGGGTAATTAATTTGAGGTCATCTAATTTATTGCTATAAAATAAAAATTTTTGACAGTTGTTTGAGTTTTGAACATTTCGCATGCAACTAGGAAAATACACTCAGAATTACAAGCACACAGGGCAAAAACAAGCATGGTGACCCCATTTTTTTTTTACAGTTTTTGAATGTGACATATATGGCTGACATTTGTGCCAAGTTTGAAAAAAAACTGGATAGTATATCATAGAGTACTAAAGTGATGACGTCATAAAAATGAAATTTCTGAAATTATGGGATTTGTCAGGATATTCTAAAAGAACAATGCAATGAGTATTTTTTACGGGGCAAATTGTCGCTGAGATGTTGGCCAGTTATACTCAGAAAAACTCCATACAAACCCTTCTAATTTTTTTTGGGTCGACCCAACAAAATTTAGAAGGGTTTGTATGGAG